TCATTTTGGGGTAGATAACTAGCTATAAAATTTCTGGATTGTATGCTTTGTTCACATTTAACTTTTTAAGAAGCTGCAAATTGTTTTCCAAAGTGGCTGTACATTTCTATTAGCATTTCTATGTTACATTTCCGTTTTCTATTTTTACATTTTCTGTTAGCAGGATGTTAGAGTTTCACTTTCTCTGCATCCTTGTCAGCACTTGGAATTGTCTCTAATTGTGATTATAAACATTCTGGTGGATGTGTAGTGGTATTTCACTGTGGTTTTAATTTGCATTTCCCTAGTACTGATGATGTTGATCTTTTCATGTGCTTAGAACCATTACATATCTTCTTTAATGAAATAGCTATTCAGTTCTTTTGCCCATTTTTCAATTGGATTGTTTTGTCTTTTTCACTTGTAAGAGTTGTTCATATATTTTAGACACAGTCCTATATCAGATATACAATTTTCACATACTTTCCACTCTATAAAATGAAGTTTCAGAAGACAAGTTTGTGGCTTGGCTTTTCACTCTCTTTAATGGTGTCTTTTCTTTCTTTAAAAAAAATTTTTTTTTTAATGTTTATTTCTGAGACAGAGACAGAGCATGAGTGGGGGAGGGGCAGAGAGAGAGAGGGAGACACAGAATCCGAAGCAAGCTCCAGGCTCTGAGCTGTCAGCACAGAGCCCGACATGGGGCTCGGACTCACAAACCATGAGATCATGACCTGAGTCCAATCATGACTTGAGCAACCGACTGAGCCACCCAGGCACCCCAATGGTGTCTTTTCAAGCATAAGTTTTACACTTTAGTGATGTCCAGTTTTTAAATGGATTGTGCTTTTGGTGGTGTAACTAAGAACTTTTTTGCCTTTTGTTTGGAGTGTTCGGTTTGTTCATATTTAATACAATTATTGATTGCATTAAGTCTGCCATTTAGCTATTTGTTTTTTATATGTCTCATGGTTTTTTTTTATTCCTCTTCCTTCCTTTTGGCACAAATATGGAGTTTTTGCAGTTATTTTCTTAGTGCAGCTCTAGGAATTAAAATATGCATCTAATTTATCACAATCTAGTTAATAGTTTCAGTAAAATAGATATTTTATAAAGCCCACAATATGGTGTTATAGGCCTTTTATGATAATCTTAGGCACTTTAGAGAAGTTAAGAGAAGAAAAGAGAAAAATATACAGACATAGTCTTTTATATTCACTTACATATTTACCAGTGTTGATGGTCCTCATTTGTTCCTGTGGATTTGAGTTAGTGTCTGGTGTCATTTCTTTTCAGCCTGGAGGACTTACTTAGTATTTCTTGTAAGGCACATTTGCCAGCAATAGATACTTTCTGAGTACTTTTTAATCTGTGAATATCTTTGTATCAATTTCTTTCTTCTTTTTTTTAAATTTAAATTTTATTTTTAAGAGAGAGAGAGAGAGAGAGAGAGAGAGCGAGCATGCATATGAGTGGGGGAGGGGCAGAGAGAGAGGGAGACACAGAATCCGAAGCAGGCTCCAGGCTCCCAGCTGTCAGCACAGAGTCCGATGCAGGATTTGAACTCATGAACCGTGAAGTCATGACCTAAGCTGAAGTCGGACACTGAACCCACTGAGCCACCCAGGCACCCCTATCAATTTCATTTTTGAGGGATATTTTTGTAAGAATAGAATTCTCCCTGGCTAGCTTTTCTTTTTTTTTTTTTTTTTTTTTTTTTTTTTTTTTTTTTTTAATTTATTTTGATAGAGAGTGTGCACATACATGCACGTGGGGTAGGGGCAGAGAGAGAGGGAGAGAAAGAATCCCAAGCAGGCCCCTATACTGTTAGCTCAGAGCCCAATGCAGGCTCGAACTTATGAACCATGAGATCATGGCCTGAGCAGAAATTGGAAGCTTAACCAACTGAGCCACCCAGGTGTCCCCTTCCTTGTTAACTTTTTAACCTTTATTTCATCACTTTGAATAAATCACTCCACTGCTTTTTGGTCTCCATTACTTCTGATGAGAAGTTAGCACTAATCATACTGTTTCTTCCTGTGCATGTTGAATCATTTTCCTTTTACTGGTTTTAAGATTTTCTCTTTGTCTTTTTTTTCTGATAGTCAACAATCTGGCTATGATGTGTCTCTCTAGGATTTTATGTTTTTCTTGGGTTTGTTGAGCTTCTTGGATTTGCAGATTAATGTTTTTCATCAAATTTCAGACTTTTTAGTTACTATTTCTTTGGACATTTTTTTCCTGTTCTTTCTCTCTGTTGTCTCCTTCATGTGTCCTTGTTGCACATAGATTGGTTTATTCGATGGTGTCCCACAGGTTTCTGGGGCTCTTTGCTTTTCTTCGATCTTTCTTTCACCTGTTCTTCAGTTTAGGTAATTTCTATAGATTTATCTTCAACTTCATTGTTTCTGTTACCAACTCAAATATGCTGTTGGATCTCTCTAGTAATTTTGTAATTTCAGTTATTTGACTTTTTAATTCCAGAATTTCCTTTTACTCCTTTTTAATAGTTTTTATTCTTTATTGAGATTTTCTATTTCTTAAGTGGTCATACTTTCCTTTAAGTTTTTACACACTGTTTCTTTTAGTTCTTTAATTATATTCATAATACCAGCCTTGAATGCTCTTTTTCCCTCGTACATCAACATCTGGGCCACCCAGCAAAGTTTCTGTTGGCTACATTTTTTTCCTCCACATAGGTCACTCTTTCCTGTTTCTTTGAAAACTGGATATTTTAGATACTGCATTGTATCCCTTCTGGTATCTCATGTTTCCTGCCTAGATGTTGTTGCTGTTTTTGGTTTAGAAACATTTCTAACCTTAATACAGGGAATATGCTTTTTCTGTGAAGATGATGTTTCTGTGTGATTTGTTATTTTATTCTTGTGTTTATTTTTAATCCTGGCTTCCTGTTTTCAACCTTGTGTCTGCAGAGCTTAGTGAACTGTGACATTAGCAATAGGTTGTGTTCAAAGACTTTGAGCCAGTAAGGCTTCCTGCCTCTGCCACTGGATGAGTGTGTGGGGTGGGGAGCTCAAAGTTCAGATAACTTTCAAGCCTTTTCAAGCCTTTTACTTTCCACTGACCCCTCTGATGTTTTCCTCTTTACTTGGTTGTAGCCTCTCTTATCAGGAGGGTTATGTGCATCAATCACATCAATCTTCCCTGCTTTTGCAAACAGCCTTTCAGTCAGCCAGGATTGTGTGGAGAGTTTATCAAGCCCTTCCCTGGCTCTCTCACTTTCAGGTTTCCCTTGCTACATTTCTGGATGGTCTACCAGTCTTTTTTGTTGTTGTTCCCAACCAAGACTGAACCTCAGACAGCAGTCCCTGGTGGCCTTCCGTGTTCATTTACCACCTAGATCACATTTATGGACAGTTCCACTGGGCATTGGTTTTTCACCTCCCGCTCAAATCAAGTGACTGCCCCTCTGGCAGCAGCAGCACTGATCATTCTATGGCCTGTCCTAGTATAACGACCACACCAACCAAGCTGGGGGATTGGAAGGGTGAGAGCAGCTCCAGGCAACAATGCTGCAGATTCCCACTTTTCTTATCTGGAGTTCAGTATTTTTCGTGAATAAACACTTCTCAAGTTATTGTAGGTTTTTGATTGATTTCTGGAATTAAACTTTGTAGTCTGTCAGGTATTGTGAAAATAAGTTTTTAGTATGAGTTTTCCACATTGCCATAGAACAAGGGTCAAAAACTTTTTCTGTAAGGGGCTACATTAGTAAATATTTTAAGCTTTCCAAGTTATGTGCCCCATTGGTTGGTTGGTTGGCTTGCTTTTCTTTCTTTCCTTTCCTTTCCCCTTCCCTCTCCTCCTCTCTTCTCTCCTCTCCTCCCTTGCCCCTCCCCTTCCCCTCCCTTGCCCCTCCCCTTCCTTCTCTCTTCTTTCTTTCTTTTTTCTTTTTCTTTCTTTCTTTCTTTCTTTCTTTCTTTCTTTCTTTCTTTCTTTCTCTTTTATCCTTCCTTCCTCTCTCTTTCTTTCTTTCCTTCTTTCCTTCCTTCTTTTTCTTCCTTTCTCCCTCCCTCTCTCTCTCCCTCCCTCCCTCACTCTCTCCCTCTTTCCCTCTCTCCCTCACTCCCTCTCTCCCTCTCTTTTTCTTTCCCCTTCCTTCCTTCCTTCCTTCCTTCCTTCCTTCCTTCCTTCCTTCCTTCCTTCCCCTAGAAAGGTAAAATCCATTTTTAGCTGGTGGGTCATACCAAAACAGGTTGCAGGCTGAATCTGGCTTACTAGACAAGTTTGCTAACTCCTGTACTTAAAAATGTAATGTTTAAATTCAAATGAAAAATAGCCATTTTTTATGGATGCAAGGATGTCTGAGTGGGAGACATGCTGTGATATAAACATATTATGAATGACCAACAGGCAGAGTAAAATGGCCCAGGCAACCCTACCTATGGCTACTCTGACTAAATATATTCTTTTTTCACCAGGATCAAAGCTAGAAATTCAACCTTATCCCCCCTGTCCGCTGGCATTCTCTAGTCAGCGAGGCCTCAGCCAACATGTGTGGCTCAGGCATCTTCCTCAGCTCTTCTCAAGTTACTGTGCAGGAAATCATCTCCATCCGGGGAAACCCTATCCAGAAGATCAGAAACAGCAGCAGAAACAACTCTTTGATCAAGCCTGCTTGAGTGACAAAGCAGAAATTCAAGAGACAGAAGACTCCAAGCCCTTGTTCAGGAGAGTAAGCAGAAGAGGCACTTGGGAGGTGTTGTCCAGCCCACTGCAAGAACAGCCAGTCAGGTCCAGGGAAGACAACACGGTGCTGGATATAGGGCCCAGCCTAGGCCAGAGGACAGACCTTGAGGAATCAGACAAAGGATCGCGTGGTGTAGAAGTCTCAAGATTTGGGACAGTCAAATGTGGGGAGTTTGGGCGAGGCTTTTTGAGGGAGTCAAACCTGCTCAGCCTCCAGAAGATGCATACAGGGGAGACACCTTACATGTACACTGAGTGGGGACAGGGCTTTAGCAACATGTCAATCCTCATCAAAAACCAGAAGAAACACTCTGGGGAAAAACCTTATGTGTGCAAGGAGTGTGGACGAGGCTTTACCTGGAGGTCAAACCTCATCACACACCAGAGGACACACTCAGGGGAGAAGCCTTATGTGTGCGAGGAGTGTGGACGAGGCTTCACCTGGAAGTCAAACCTCATCACACACCACAGGACACATTCAGGGGAGAAACCTTATGTGTGCGAGGAGTGTGGACGAGGCTTTACTTGGAAGTCAAACCTCTTCACACATCAAAGGACACATTCAGGGGTCAAGCCTTATATGTGCAAGGAATGTGGGCAGAGTTTTAGCCTGAAGTCAAACCTTATCACACACCAGAGGGCACACTCTGGGGAGAAGCCTTATATTTGCAAGGAATGTGGGCGTGGCTTTCGCCAGCATTCACATCTCATCAGACATAAGAGGACACATTCGGGAGAGAAGCCTTATGTGTGCAGGGAGTGTGAGCAGTGCTTTACCCAGAAGTCACATCTCAGTAGACACTTAAGGACACACACAGGAGAGAAGCCTTACGCGTGCGCGGAATGTGGGCGCCGTTTTAGTTGGAAATCAAACCTCAAGACACACCAGAGGACTCACTCCGGGGTTAAACCTTATGTATGCCTGGAGTGTGGGCAGTGCTTTAGCCTGAAGTCAAACCTCAACAAACACCAGAGGTCACACACGGGGGAGAAGCCATTTGTGTGCAGAGAATGTGGGCGAGGCTTTACCCGGAAGTCAACCCTTATCACACACCAGAGGACACACTCAGGGGAAAAGCCATTTGCGTGCAGGGAGTGTGGACGAGGCTTCAACGATAAGTCAACCCTCATCTCACACCAGAGAACACATTCAGGGGAAAAGCCTTTTGTGTGCAGGGAGTGTGGTAGAAGGTTTAGCCAGAAGCCAAACCTCTTTAGGCACAGGAGGGCACACTCGGGTCATATGCCCTTTGTGTGCAAAGAGTGTGGGCAGGGCTTCTGTGATAAGTTAACTCTCATCACACACCAGAAGGCACACTCCGGGGGAAAGCCTCACGTGTGCAGGGAGTGTGGGCAAGGCTTTAGCCGGCAGTCACACCTCGTTAGACATCAGAGGATACATTCAGGAGAGAAGCCTTACATTTGTAGGAAGTGTGGGCGAGGCTTTAGTCGGAAATCAAACCTCATCAGACATCAGAGGACACACTCAGGATAGACACCTTGTGTGTACAGCGAGTGTAGTGAAATCTTCAGTCAAGAGTCCTATTTCACAAGATGCCAGAAGTCACACCTAGTGGTTTTAGTAAGAAGTCAGCCATTACCAGACACCAAAGTGGAGACAGCTACTTACGTGTGACAGGAATGTTCACGAGCCCAATGGGAAGAGTCAACCTCTCCAGTCCGCCTGAAGGAGAACTACTGGCTCATTTTCAGGAGCTCTGGCTTCCCCTAGTGGGGATGGTGGGTTGTGGAAGATCAGGTAACTTGATGGAGGGAGCACTTAGAAGTAGATTGAAATAAAGGAATGGAGACTATTCTAATGTCATTTCCTGAGAATATTTAAACCCTCCTTACACAGTAGCCTGGATGTTAGAGATAACAGCAATAATAGAGCTCGCCCCTTAAAATCTGTCCGACTTTCTGAGAACAAGGGACTTGACAGAGACCATTGCTGATTTAATCTTGCTTTCCCAGAGCAGGACCCAGCAGCAGTCAGCTTCAGGGAAGTTTGGGAAATGATGAATTCATGGAGACAGAGGTAGTACGTGGGTAGAAGAAGGTTTTATTATGCAAAAGGGCTTACAAGTGAGGAAGACCATGACTGTCCTAGCTCTAGGTTTTGGGAGGAAGTATCCATTTTTGCTTGCTTCCAGGGGCTGTCTCTGGTTTCCAGGTTGAATCCATACTGAAGATATTCTTATTTACCGATGTATTTAGACTAGAAATGTATTATATGCTTTTATGAAGAAAACTGGTAGTAATTTTTGTGAATTTGACTTTCAAACCAAAAGTTAGAATATTGAAAAACAACTGTCGCCATGAACTTGACAGCTTTCCACTACTTAGTCTTTTGTGACAAGATTGCTGATGATATTAATGAATGTGATTTTGTAATACCATATAATGAAATACGTAAACATTTGGAAGATCTGCCTAACTCATTGAACAAGTATTTTCCAAATGATTAGTGTGTGATGCTACAAAATCATCCATGGTGGTATTAAAGTATAAGATAGGCAAATGGATTTCAGTTTAAAAGATAAAGGTACCTGGCTGGCTCAGTCAGTAGAGCATGCAGCTCTTGATCTTGGAGTTGTGAGTTCGAGCCTCACCTTTAGGGATAGAGTTTACTTTAAAAAAGAAAAGAAAAACCAAAACCAAAAATTAAAATTAATACCAATCTTTAAAAAAAAAAGAGATAAAGGCCAGATTCCACATTACAGTAACCTTTAAAAAATTATCACTTGTTGACTTTTGGTATACTTTGGTATAGTCAAAGAATAATATTAACAAATATCTGAAAAGGTCATTAAGATACATCTCCATTTTTTAAATTTGTACATGTGAGGTCATATTATTTATCTCAGCAAATTAAATGCAAGAGCACATATAAAATACTAGCTATATTAAGATTAAAGAGATTTTCAAAAATACAAGATAATGCCACTCTTCTCACTGATCTATTTTTTTTTAAATTTTTTTGGTGGAAAATATTCAAACCCAAGTGAAAGTGAAGCACTTTACTTCTCATTTAAAGTGCATTGTTTCTAGATGTTTATGGTTTTGGGGTACCTGGCTGGCTCAGTCGGTGGAGCATGTGATTCTTGATCTCAGGGTTGTGAGTTCAAACCCCACACTGGGTGTAGAGATTACTTAAAAATAAAGGTTTTTTAAAAAAACCAAACAGGTTTGGGGTTGCCTGGCTGGCTCAGTTGGTGGAGCATGCGACTCTTGATCTCAGGGTCATGAGTTCAAGTCCTGTGTTGGGTGTGGAGCTTAACAACAAAACGTTTAGATGTTTATGGTCTATATCTCACAGCAAAAAATACTTCACACACACTTAAACACCAAAAAAAAAAAAAAAAACGTTACCTAACATACTATTATACTTAATATAATTTAAACTAGGCATGGGGCACCTGGCTGGCTCAGTTGGTGGAGCATGAGAATATTCATCTCTGCGTCATGATTTCGTCCCCATGTTGGGTGTAGAGATTACTAAAAAAAAAAAATAAACTTAAAAAAATTTAAACTAGACGTAGAAGACAATTACCAAATAACACAAATGCAAAGGAAATGCTTGTTAACACCCACTGGCAGATGTAAACCTACAGTTGAAGTATGCTGCTCTATCTAGACAAAACACACAAATCTTGGGGAATGCTCATTGCTAGAACTAAATTATATAATTACTTAATCTCTGTGCCTGTCGCTATGTCTCTTCCTGAATATTCTTGCCAATTTTTCTATTTCTTATTAAAATCTATTCTTTTAATCTTTTCAATGTGTTTTTAACTTATATTTTGTTAATTTTTGTTAATATTTACTAATATCTTGAAGCTAGTTTTTATTAATTGCTTTTTGAAGCTTATTTAATCATACTTCAGGTTTTTTTTACCTTTTCCTTTTTATTTTCTTCTGAAAGTCAAATCAGTTATAATTTTTATCTTTGTTTTCTCTTTTAGCCAAGAATTACTATTTCTACAAATGGCTAGATGGATGTATTCATTTTACACTCTCCTAGTATTTAGTTTTTTTTAATGTTGTAGCATTATAGTCAATATATTTTTGTAGTTTCTTCCATTTTATTTTATTAAAAAATGTTAATGTATTTATTTAAATTCAAGTTAGTTAACATACGATGTAGTATTGGCTTCAGGAGTAGAACCCAGTGATTCATCACTTCATATGACACCTAGTGCTCATCCCAACAAATGCCCTCCTTAATGCCCATCACCCATTTAGCCCATCCTCAACCCACCTCCCCTCCAGCAACCCTGTTTGTTCTCTGTATTTAAAAGTCTCTTATGGTTTGCCTCCCTCTCTGTTTTTGTCTTATTTTTCCTTCCCTTCTCCTATGTTTATTTGTTTGGTTTCTTAAATTCCACATATGAGTGAAATCATATGGTATTTGTTTTTCTCTGACTTATTTTGCTTAGCATAATACACTCTAGTTCCATCCACATTGTTGCAAATGGCAAGATTTCATTCTTTTTGATCGCCAAGTAGTATTCCATTGTATGTATGTATGTATCTTCTCTGTGCATTCATCTGTGGATGGACATTTGGGCTCTTTCCATACTTTGGCTATTGTGGATAGCGCTGCTTTATAAACATTGGGTGGGGTACGTGTGTCCCTTCAAATCAGCGTTTTTGATTCCTTTGGATAAATACCTAATAGTGCAATTGCTGGGTCATAGGGTAGTTCTATTTTTAATTTTTTGAGGAACCTCCATGCTGTTTTCCAGAGTGGACTTCCAGTTTAATTCATAAAGTTTAGTTTTGAATCTAATCAAGCTCTGAATTTTCATGTATATCTTTTTGTTTGTTTGTTTGTTTTTTAGTTTATTTATTTTGAGAGAGAATAGGGGAGGGTCAGAGAGACAGTGAGAGAGAGAATCCCAAGCAGGCTCCACACTGTCAGTGCAGAGCCCAATATAGGGCTTGAACTCACAAAATGAGATCGTGACCTGAGCTGAAACTGAGAGTCAGATGCTTAACTGACTGAGCCACCCAGGCACCCCAGTTTTCATGAGTATCTTAAAAAGCAAGTATGTAACATGAGTATGTGTATTTTAACAATATTATACCAAAATTAACACAAAAGGTTATAAATGTTGATGTTTTCCTATATCGTTACCTTATTCTCCTGTTGTTTTGTATTAATTTCATATTTATTTCTATGTTAACATGTGAAATTAGATTTGTAATGTAAATATAGATACAAGTAATATTAACAGAATAAGCACCATTGTACTCACCCCAGAAGAAGTAGTAAGCCTTAATTATTTTTAAAAACTTAGCACTTCCATTTCTGTAAGTGAAATAGTCAATAAATTTATGATCATGTTAAGAAACATTTCTCCATGTATTGCCATCAAATTTTGCTTAATACATTTCAAGGCTATTTTATTTTAGTATATGTGCTGCTGAAGCGAGCACAAGGCTATTTTATTTAGATCTATAGAAATTAATAAAATTTCTTCTTGATGGATTTTCTCTTTTAAAACCATTGAGCAACCCCAGGTCCCATTCAGTGCTTCTAATTAGTCCGTTCTCAATACTGTTTGCATTTGCCTTTTTTGGTAGTATTTGCTATACTCACTTTTTCATTTTCATCTTGATATTCTTGTTTTGTGAATAGAGCATCCTGTTCAAGTACTGGAAGCCACAGTCAGAACAATTAGGTAAGAAAGATAAATAAATACAAAGCATCTAAATTGGAAAGGAATAAGTGAAACCATCTCTATTTACAGACATCATTTTATATATAGAAAATCCAAGTGAACTCAAACTGATAAAGCTAATCAACAAATTGAGCAAAGTTATAGAGTACAAGATCAACAAACAAAAATCTGAGAAAATAGAGAATTCTGTTTTTTTTAAAAAAATTTTTTTTTTCAACGTTTATTTATTTTTGGGACAGAGAGACACAGAGCATGAATGGGGGAGGGGCAGAGAGAGAGGGAGACACAGAATCGGAAACAGGCTCCAGGCTCTGAGCCATCAGCCCAGAGCCTGACGCGGGGCTCGAACTCACGGACCGCGAGATCGTGACCTGGCTGAAGTCGGACGCTTAACCGACTGCGCCACCCAGGTGCTGGATGCTTAACCGACTGCGCCACCCAGGCGCCCCTGAGAATTCTGTTTTCTTGAGGGATCTTGGCTGATGGGTTGCCACTGAGTAATGAATTGGGTGACCATGGGGGTATGAGTACTATATACCCTTTAACTCAAAGTTTCTTAGATTTGGCCAATGGGAGCCCCTTCAAGCTGGCCTCTTGTGTCTTTCTGACATGTCTCCATCATTCATTAAGCATCTCCTTAATTTCTGACAGATAGTAAAGGCTCATTTTGTACTTTCTCAGCCCCGGCCCTGGAATTCACCATTTCTCTAAGAAATTATAGTTGCTTTCAGTGGAGAACGATATTTAGGAACCAAGACCTAGGTAATAAGGTGTGCTTATTGGTCTTAGACCATCTCTGCTGACAGAG